GCATCGGGCTCCCTGGTCGGCGGGGAGTCTGCTTCTCCCTCTGACCCTCCTCCCTCTCATGCTCTCTGTCTCTCATTCTCTCTGTCTCAAATAAATAAAATCTTAAAAAAAAAAAAATTACTTGTCCCCAATATAGTGCTTGCCCCCAAAGAAATTACTTGGTAACTGTCCCCTCAGCCAGAGCCTGCTCTGAATGATAATCCAATCCGAAGAGAGAAGAAATAGAAACATGGCCCTCGACAGGACCTGGCCTCCTCAGCCCAGTCTCTGCTGACCCTACTACCAACCCATTGTGGAGCCCACATCCCAGCTGGCTGCTAATTCATTCAATCCCTCTCTCTCCTTGAATGCTGTCCTGGGCTCTGGGGACAGACAGGGTACAGAGGAGGTGGCCTTAGAAAAAGCAGCCCAGTGTTTATTTGTCCGGCCCCCGTTTTGCCCTACAACCCACTTGTTTCCCCCAACCCCTTGCCAAGGCATCCTGTCATCCAACCACCAGGCGGCTGCCCTTCACTGTGGATCAACAGCTTAAAGGAAGGGCTCACAGCCAGACAAGGAGCAAGTGGAAAAGCAGCAGAAGATGCCACAGACCAGGCATCTGGGTGCTAACCATCCAATATCAAAGTCCCCCAAGAAAACAGCTCCCATCCTCCTCCCCAGCGCGGCCCGACCAGAGCCTATATTCATCCAGTGTTGTCCATCTCTCACCCCACAGCATAGTCACCAATCCTGTCTGTCCACAGCTGTAGGGAGAGAACAGACTCTTGAAAGCCACCAAACACAAACACTGCAACTCATTTCCAGCCCCAGCCCCATCTGCAGCAGGTGGGCAGACATTTGCCAACCCTGCAGCCCCTGCAGGCTCAGTTCCCAATGCCGCACGTCTGGGCAATCACTGGAACTAGCTGGTGAGTCCCTGGACCAAACATCAGGTGGTGGGGTGGGTGTGGTGAGAGAAGACAGGGGATGTGAGGGCCCCAGGTTCTTACCATTTGTTGTCACAGAATTTGTAGCGGTGGTCATCTGCAGGGACGATGTCAATCAGCAGGATATATTTGGTCTTGGGGTTCATGCCTGTGACTTTTACCTTGTAGCTGGGGAACATCCTCCTGGGGGGAGCCAAGGTGTGAGGCAAAGGCAGAGACAGAGCACCGGGAGAGATGGCACATAGGGGTGAGGGGACAGAAGGCCTTAAGGGACACTGGCCCCTGATCAGAACGTGTGTGAGCTGGGTAAGGCCCTTCCCTCTCTGGCCTCAGCCTCCCCCTACACAAGGGAAGGGCCGCACCAGTTGCTCTGAGCCCCGGGAGCTGTGTCTAGGAAGAGGGCTTACCTGGCTTCCCCAGTGCAATTCCCTCTTCCCCACGATCCCCTAATATTTAGGCCTACTGGCTGTGAGCAGCTAAAGCATAGAAACCCTCGGGGTCATGAGAGAGGATTTCAACAGCAACCTGGCTGCTTAATTTCCCTCCTGCCCTTTGCCAGTCCATATGCAACTAAAGTTCTGGGCTGCCATTAACAGGGGCCAGAGCAAAAGACCTCGAAGTCCCCGTCAGCTGCTTCTGTAATCAATGGAGTGTCTCCTCTGGGCCTTGCCTCTGTGGAAGCCGTCGGGCCTCAAACCAACTCACAGGAAAACAGGAGAGCGCTGCTAGGTCTCTGGATTCCTTTGGGGTGTTTAGCAGAAGTGTTTAACTGTGTGAAGACCATGCCTGGGCCTGTGCACACTCACCGGGGACCAGGGGAAGCCAGCTCAGGAGCCTCATGGAGAAAAGATTCTGGGACCACTGTGCCTTGGCCACACCACTGACAGGTTGTGAGGCGTTGGGCAACTTGCTTGGATCTCTCTGTGCCTTGGTTTCCTTATCTCTAAAACAGGGATATTACCACCTATCTCATAGGTTGGTGTGTGGATTCACTGGATTCACTGAATCCATTTGTGACTCTTGCCGCTGGCCCTCACTGCACTCCTCCCTCCACAAACCAGTGGATGACCGACCTCTGTGAAAATGGACTCACCAAAAAACAGGAAGTTTTCCAGTTTCCACAGCCCATGCTAAGACTGTCCAGGACCCTGAGGCTCAGTGAATATTCTAGAGAAGGGCTTCCCCAGACCCCTCAGCACACACACAGGAACAACAGCATGTACACACACCCGCAGGGGCACAGCTCTGCCCCTGGTCCCCAGGTCCCTGACACTGGACCTCCCCAGAGGGGCAGACAGACCTTCCTCACAATCCTCTCAGACACCCCCACCCTCTCCTAGCTGATCTCCCACAAAGGTGTTTCCCCCAAGAGAGAGGCAGGATCCAAACCTAACTGAAGACACTAGGGCATCAGGAACCAAATCCCCTGAGTTGGGACAGTGCCCAGACTGTCCCCTCAAGGAAAGCCATCAAGTGGTCCTCTGCCTCCTCACTAAGCTGAGAGAACCTTAAGGGAAGCTGTCCTAGACACCTCAAACAGGTGATTGCAGCCCCCCATTTTGTCAACAGGGGTTCCAGCTTACCTGGACAGGACAGGGCTTCCAGAAGGGATCAAGGCCTCCTCGAGCCGGCAGACCCTACAGCAAGCCCCGGCGAGGACCCAGAGGTGGGAGGTTCAGTTCTACCCCTGGCCCAGCCCCAGTCTGCTCGCCCTCTCTCTTGCGGGAGGAAGGGCCCGTGAGAGCCCTGCAGTGGGCCAGGGACGTGGGAGGTGTGTGGCCCTGTGTACGCACGAGCGCATGTACTTGAGTACACAGTGGAGTGCGCATGTGTGCACGTGTGCCTGCCTGGAGGGAGGAGGGAAGTTCTAGCCGCAAGTCTAGGGACTTATAAACCGTGTGGAAGAATTTGTCTCAGATGTCAACTGAAAGCATTTTCAAATGTCCACCCCACCCCCTCTCCAGGAATGGGGGAAGTGAGAGGGCTCAGGAACCCCGTACTGCCTGCTCACCAGCCCCTGCCCGGCCTGGGGGCACAGCTGGAGCCTGCACCACCCTCTTTCCAGGCCCAGCCTCTTCCCTGATAGGGCTAAAGCTGAAGCGGGGAGGGCAGCAGCTGCCTCACCTCCCCTCCTCCCTGGGGGAAGGCCAAGAATCCTGTCCCCTCCAGACCACCATTTTGTAACCGCTACAGAAACTGCCACAAGATGGGGCAGCCCTGGCTGTGCTTGGCCTGACCGGGCACCAGTGCCCTGCACTTAGCCTGTTTGTCCTGTAATCACTTCAGGTGGCAATGGCAGAGGGCAAATATGGCCACCCCCCAGGGCAGTATCTACAAAGGGGGCAGGAGAAAATGTCTCCCTGCCACTGGAGTAGTCTCCCTAACCTGGGCTGAGAGGAAGGTCAAGGACCCTGCCCCTCCCCTTCTCCTACTCCCTACTACGCTTCGTCTCAGCAGCTCAGGAGGCCAGGCTGACGCGGGCTAAATGCTTTCTAGAAGGCCTATAAGCAGCCTGTGCTCAGCTCCCCAAGGCACGGTCCTGTGATTTGGCTTCTCCTAGAAGCTGACCACAGCTGACCACAGTTTTCCTGACGGAAAACACCCTCAGGGAGGTTTTGCCAGGAATTGGCGCAGGGAAGGAAGGTATCCCCCAGCCTCTGCCTCCGCTGCCTACCGATTCCCCTCTTCCCAGGGCTGCAGCCCTTAGGGGCAGGGACAGGGGGGATGGGATAGCTGGTCTGAGCCGGGAGTTCAAGAGTCCACTGCTCCAGGCCGAGCTACTCAGGCTCAGGGAGCGCCACTGCTTTCACGGGAATAGGTATCTCCCTATCTGTCAGGGGTCCAGTTTGGTGACTGCTTCTGAGAACACGAGCCTTGGGGACCCTATCATTTCCCCACCTGCGGGGCTCCAGTAGAATGCAGGGCACACACGGGTTGGGGAAAGGCTGCGTGTGCAGGAGAAGCACAGGGTCCATGCAGCCTGTAAGCCTCCCCTCCCCGCTGAAGGCATCTGCCCTTGGTTCCAGAGGGGGCTAAAGCTGGAGCCAGAGGCCCAGCAAGGGAGCGCTCCCGGGTGGGCGTGACTCCTGCCACCAACGGCAGGCTGGGTCTGGGAGCTGTGACCTCCTCGGGGCTCCCCTACACTGTGAGGCCCTCTCTCCTGAAACCGATGGAAGGAGGGGGCGCGATGTAAATTGTTTCTGTGACTCAGAACGTAAATGTACCTGGAAACCACCACTGTGGGGGAAATGAACAGCTCAGCGGGTCGGGGAGGGAGGGCCAGGAAGAGAGGTTAGGGCTCTGAGCCGCCTGGCTCCCACTCTGCCCGGCACGGGCGCTGGCCGGGAATCCCGGGCTCGCCTGTCCCGGACACCCCGCGGCCCCCCCACCCCCAGTCCCGCGCCGTCGAGCCCTCTCCCTCACTCTCTCCCTGCGCCCCGCGGGCCTCCCGTCTGCGTCCCTGGCGCCCCCTCGGGGCTCCGGGCCCCGCAGGCAGAGGGGCGCTCCGGGCGCCCGCGGAAACGGCTCCGCCGGGGAATAAACAAGCCGCCCGCCCCGCCGCCCGGGAGGAGATGAAAGCCGGGGGTTTCTCCTCTGATCATGAAACAGGCTCTGAAAGGGTGCGGGCTGGAGCCTTATCTACTTCATACTCGGAAATGGTTTTAGAATGAACTGCTAAGATAAGCTTCCTTGGACGTTTCTCGGCGTGGGAGGCTTGCGGGGCGCGGGGCAAGGGATTCGGGGCATTGTGATCTTGGCAACAGCCCCTCAAATGCTCGCTCGCTGCTGAGGGGGGACGTGCAAGTTCAGCTGGGCTCAGACAGCCGCGGGGGGCTGCCGGCTCCCCGGCCTAAGCCCTCGCCAAATTCCTGACCTTGACCTACCCGAGCCCCTCACCAATCCAGAAGGGGGGTGCAGGGATTAAGCCGGACCTAGGAGACCAGCCAGATTCTCTCCACCTAGCCAGGCCACCAAACCCCAAACCCGAAGGCACCCGACTTTCTCTGGGGGCCCGGAAACCCCAGGAGCAGCTAGATGTGCCTTCCCTTAAACGTAGGCACAAAACCAAATCCAAGGGGTGAGAAGTCCGGAGAGGGGCTTCGAGGGGGGGCGGGGGTTGGTGGGGTGGGAAGGCACACAAGAGGATTCTCTTCTGTTTCTTTATCTGGGTGGTGCCATGATTGGGGGTACTATTTGTGAAAGTCTATAGAGCTGTACAATTACGATTTGTTCATTTTTCTGCAGGAATGTTCCACTTCAATAAAATGGACATTGAAAATTACACCCGTGTGTATATCATATGTGTGTGTGTCCACACACACACACACACACACATATATATATATACACCAGCAGCGGAGCCCAGAGTCTGAAAGGAACCGGTTGCAGGCAAAGGATGGGGGTCCACAGAAAACCCCACCCTTCTTCCTATCCCTAGTGTCTGGGAATCTTGAGAGACATTTCTGAGTATGTTGGGAAGAGGTTAAGGCCCATCAGCCAAGGCTCAGTTTACTGGGGGAGCGGGGAGCTGTTGCTGATGCTGCCTATACTGAGACCAAACCTTCTAGAGCCTAATTATTTCTGAGAGCAATGGCAAAGCTTCATAATTTATTCCCACTTTACACACACACACACACACACACACACAGAGTTTTCTAATTCACTCAAAGCATTTTTAAGAAATATTTTCCCTGAGGTGGGGGGCAGGAGTGAGGGTGTGTGGAATGAATGCTGTTTTGGAAGATCAGTTGCTTCTCAGATTCTTTTTTAAAGACACTTCCTTCTGATAGACTTTTGCTTTCAGAAAATACTTTAGAAAGAGATCAAAGGACTCTCTCTCCAACCCACTTTCCCAGTGTCTTCAACCCTTACTTGTCTTATCATCCACGCCACTGGGTTCTGACGCTCTGTATACAGAGCGAGGGCAATTGGCTTTGAAGCCCCGGATTAAGCTGGGCCAAATCCTTGCCTCAGAATAACAAACAATACAGGTTCAACAGGAGTTCTCATCGGTAGTTCATTTTTCAAACGCAAATTCACTGTCACTAACACAAGCAACATTGAACTCAACAGGCTATGAAGGCTGATAGTGGAGATTTATCTGGTGGCAAAACCATGACCTAGGAGGAGAGCAGTCAAACGGTTAGGAAATTTTCATTTTGGGGAGGTTTATATTTAAATTTTTGTGGAGCTCGCTTTTATCTATGTTTGGGAGAAAATGCAGTTTCTCACATGTTTCAAGCTTGGCAGGGATGTGAAGGAGGTAGAGACAGGAGGGGTCTGCTCGATGCAGTGAATGGCTTAAAACTTGTGAGTTCAGGAGACTGAGAGGGACAGAAACTGGCTGGGAGGATTCTGGCCCATTTTACACCTGACATCAGGGGTTACTGAGCATTCAGAAATTGATGTCTCCCAATGTGATTGGCATTTTATTCCCCAGATCAAATGGTTTGAGAATCCAAAGCCACTATCCAATGAAGGGGATTATTCTCTCCTCGGCCTTAAGACCTTCAGGGCTTCAGGCAAGAGGCTTGTGACCAAAGACTCAAACTAGCTTGAGAACATCCTGGGTTCCCCTTTTCCAGGGCCTGCCTCTCCCTCAACCAGACAGCAATGACCATGCCCCTAACCAGCCAGGGTCTCTAGAGTAAAGCAACAACCCCACATTGAATGGCCTTGTAAATAAGCCATAAGGGGAATTTCTCAAAGTTGGGGTTTTGTTCTGGGGGTGGAGTATCATCAGCTTGGCTTGTGTAGACTCAGGAACTGCCTAATCTTGCTACTATCTATAAGAGCCAAGTGCCTTCCCTTCTCTGGGGTCAGGTTTACGTTCCCCTGGTTCTCCTCCAGCTCACGCAGTCTAGGAATCTGTGATTCAAGGTTCAGGAGAAGGGTCCAGGCCATCTGCTAAGAAATGCAGGTGTCCCAAGAAGGGTGCTGGTAGAGACACAAAGAAGAGAACTGGGAGTCCACAGGATGTTGAAGAGCAACTGAGACCAAGCAAAGCAAGCTGCCTCCTGAGGCTGCCCAGGCGAGGGAGGCAGTAAGGCGGAGGGGGCCACGGGGATCAGAGCCCTGAATTTGGTCTCTGAGGTCAGTGAGCAGCTATGCAGGAGGAAAGAGGGTCTGTGAGAACAGTGGGGAGGGGCGATGAGGCTAGTGACTTTCTTTAGGACTAGACCTGTTGCACGAATAACTTACCGCCAGAGAAATGAAAGGGTGTGATGAAACCATAATTGGCCAACTTCATCACAGCCATTTAAAAATTATTATCATCATTCCCTGAGGCCCATCTCTAAGCCTTCACTAGGAATCGGGCACAAACATCTGCCTGATGTTGGTACCTATGGAAGTGTATGTGTGTGTGTGTCTGTGTTGGGGGGAGGGAAGGAGGAGGACCCATGCAGATGCAGGAAACCCCACTGAGGAGAATCACAAATGCCTTTTGTTTTCAATGCCAGAGGCCAGGCTTGCCCCAAGAACATGCTGACCATTTATTTTCAAAAGACAAGGTTATTTCTGCTGCCTAAAAAGGGAAATTCTGGATCTTTCTGTCTCTTCTTTCCTTCCCTCCACCCCGGCAGTCACAAGAAATAAATTCCCCCTCTTCACACCTATAATCCACTCAACAATTTACCATACGTAGCTCATAGGACCCCTGGTTTGAGTCTCAGAGTGCCTGAGAAAGGAAGGCTGGCAGGTAAGTCTACGGTCACCAGCTCTGTGTTAGCCAACACCACAGGAAGCTTAGAGACGTGCCCAAGTGCACTCAGCTAGGAAGAGGCAAGACTTGTGACACCTGGCTCCCCACCGTCCTCAAGGACTATTCTAAGTGGCACCCTCTACCAGGTTCCCTTCATGCATCCTCCTTCCCCATCTCCCAAATGCAGCAAATTCAGGCCCTGATATCCCCCTGCTTCTTCTCCTGATAGAGGCTCCAGGTGGCCTTGCCACCTACCAGGCCGGGGTGGCCAAGTGGCCAGACTTTACCCCCAACAAAACAGAGGAAACCTTGCAAGTCCTGCCAGGGAAAGGACACGAGGGACCACAGGACTACTCCACTACACACTGCAAACTACCAGGTTTTTTTTTTTCTTTTGAACAGCCCACCGGTCTCTGAGCAGTTCGGCAGAGTTCTTTAAAAAGTAGAAGAAAAATGCTAAGTGGATGCCAGACATTTCTCTAATTACGATTAATTTTAGCTAGGCATTTATGGCACGCTTACATGTGCCAGGAGCTGTGCTAAGTGCTTTGCATACAACCGTATGTATGGTTTTGCAGAGGGGTACGAGGAGAGGGCAGAGACCCTGCAGCACCTAGCCTGAGGGTTGCACAGAGGCAAGCAGCTGGCCCTTAAGGCTTCACCACCTTATTCCTTGGAAAACCCAATCATGGGCCCACGGCCAGACAACAGCACATTTTCACACCTACCCTGTTCCCCTCAGGGACCAAAATCAAATGGGAGTAAGTGGGGAAGGGGTAGTTTCTACACCTGAACTTTCCAGCTTCACTGTGTGCAGCAATCCCCCTTCACTGATAACCGCTGGCCTAGCCCCTCCTGCCCCGCCCGCCCAAGACTCCTGGCCCCATTGAATCTCTCTCCTCTCTCTTCTCTCTCTCTCTCTCATCTTGCCCCGGCTGCATCTTCCTCCTCTCACGCTTTCCTCCAGGCTCTCTCCCACAGACACCAGCGCATTTTAAAGATGTTTCCACTTTATAAATCATTATTCTGGCAGCCACCCGAGAGTTGCTCCCTAAACAACACACCGGGCCCTTTCCCTTGGCTGAGGGGGGGGGTGTGCTGTCAACAGAGGAGCAGCACCCCTGGGATGAGAGATCTGGGGTGCACGCTGCCCCGGAAAATTATGGAAATAGGAAAACACAGGTCCCCTCCCTCCATCTGTTGAGGGCCATCTCCGGGTCCCCAATCAATGCAATCCTGAGAAACCAGGCAGGTACCCAAAAGGAGGAGGACAAAGCAGGATAGTGCTGGAACCGGGACCTCCGACGTCGTGATCCTTATTTGCATTTTATTTGCATAGTGCTGCCCCTCCCTTCCTTCCCTCCCGCTGGGCTTCCTAGAGGAGGATTCCCCTGGTGAAGTTCTGCGCCCAGTAGCAAACCGTGGTAGGATGCGGGGCTAAGGCGAGAGCGTCCAAGGGGATCCCCATCGCTCCCACCAGTCATCTTCCATCCCCCAAGTAAACGTCCCAGCGCTGACCTGCCCGCCTTGGTGATGATCATCTCGGTGCCTGCCTCGTGGAACTTCTTCCAGAGCTCCTTCTCATGCAGGCCCACCTTGATGTTCTCGATGGTCTAGGGATGAGAGGGAAGGGGACTTTTGTCGGCCTGGGCCACGGCTCCACGAGGAGCCCTCAGGACGGAGAACACAGACTCAAGGAACTATGCAGAGTGCCGCCAGCCCCGGGACCGTTTCGTTTCATAAAATTATACTGTACCACTGGTAAATTTTTCAAAATGTAATCAGTAGCTGAGACCCACTCCTTCGGAGTTGCACCTATTGTGGTACGCAGAGGACACATCCTGACCGCGACAGGGTAGATGACACACTACACAAACATAAACACTCCACGTGGCGGGACGTAGCCACAGGCTTTCGGACAGACACAGGAGGGACACGCGCACCCGCAGACGCTACGCAGACCCATGCCGGCCGAGGGCGTGCACAGACGGATTCCTTTTATTGCGATCATCAGGTTATCACTGTGACCCTCTGAGCGACATCCGCGCGGCCGCTCCCCGCTCTCACCCGGCTGGGATCCGTTCTTCCCTCCCGGTGCCAGAGCTTTCGCCCCCGACCCCCGCCCTCTCGGCGTCGACGGAGCTGGACACTTGGCCCGGGCTCGCCCCGCTGCCACAAGGGTGCCCTCCCCCGCCTGTCCCAGAGTAGCCCCGAGGGCGCGAAGCCGAAGAGGGACGCAAGGCAGAGAGCGCGAGCGCTGCCCCGCGGAGGAGAACACGCAGTCCGGGACGCAGCCAGGTCCCCCGGGAAGCGAGTCCTGTCCTCTTCGGGGCAGACTGGCAGACGCAGGCTGCCCTGCAGACAGACCGACGCCCGACCTCTGCCCGACGGCCAGCGGGCCCTACCTGCTCCGCGGCGGCGGCGGCGGCG